TTCCTTAACTTCCTCATTACTATTACGATCTTTGTGCTTCGAGCAAATTGGTTTCCATTTATTTGTACCATTAACGAAAGCTCTATGTGGCTGGCGGTGCACCACTGATGGCAATGGAAATTAAGGAAGCGATACATACGTGACTTCAAGAGCAATCAAAAATCCTTTACATCAGACAAAATTGGAAGACTTATGAACTGTTTCACAAAATGTGTAGCAAAGTTACTTGTTTCTTTTCGTTAACGTCGCTATATGCTGACAGCACTGAAAATATCGTTCCAAAATGAAAGCTGCGTTTGCATGAAAAGCATGCTTATGGAACACTATTGGTAGTATGCACTTATGACGACATGCTCGCAGCGCTGACAAACAATTTTGGAACACAGCCATAATACGTGAAGATCAACTACGCGCAACTTCTCGCACTACGTATAGATAGACGAGTTACATGATGCGCGCCTTGTATTGTGACAAACTAGAAAACTCGAAAAGAATTTTGTTTTCGTCTCTAGTTTTGTGCCGAGAATCGAAAATATAAATATATTATATTTATATTTTCAATTCTCGGCACAAAACTTTAATCATTAATTTTCGTTTTGCATCGGTCGTGAAATAAAATGTGCATTTGCTTTTGGTTTTGTTCCTGTTTGATATTCTTGTGGCGTATTCACTGCGACCACGCGACCTTCCACACTATTCTCGCGGATATCGTGCCGGCGAGATTGTAGCCGAGAAGGCTGGCTTCTTCTCTCTATTTTGTTCGATGCACCCTCGGTAATCGAACGGAGAATTACAATGCGTTAACGTTTGACTTGATGCGCTGTATGATACGGAACTCGATCGATGTGACGGGATCGATGTCTATCGGAAATCTATCTATGTACGGCGTCCGGCAGGACTACGCGAGGACGCGGAAGGATCACGCGCGTATGTGAGCACGAAATTCGCACTACTTCTCTCGGGCGACCAATGGAAACGGCGCAATGATAAGTTAATGGTCGCAGCGCGACCGAACGCGACGAAGGACCCTATCAATATCGAACACGCCGCCGACCTCAAAAGGATCTTTCAAAATCTTGAACTTAATTCTACCTGAAAATTGAGTAAAGGAAAAAATATTGATTGCAGCACGAACAGTCGAGATTGACCCTATAAATTAATTTAGAAGCGCGATCTTAACCATAATATAAGTAACATAGAGTTTCGAGCATAACTATAAGGATTACTTAAAATTACATGGGGTATCTTAAACCTAACCATTACATAATATAACCTTACAAGTTAAGTTTCAAGCGGTAAAATCGCTAATTTTGTTAAAGGTCTCATAAGCGAACCCTTAGAAGTTTGCACCGTGGCTGTTCGAGCCACGCCGTCAGAGCCTGGATGGATTCTAAAATCCTAAAATCCTAAAATCCAATTCAATGGCGCTAGATTCGGCTGTTTCACGAGGACGAGCTGATTGGACAGTAACTGGTTACCCTTGCTCATTTTCCACTTATTTCGCTCTTGCAATGACTGCAAGTACTCGGTGCTCCACCGCCGCCAAAAATGCTGCCGAATCTGCTCGAGCCTTTGCCATCTTAGTAATCGGTTCTCTGGAACGTCGTTGAGGTCTCTGGAAGGAAAGCTATTTAGTGCAGTGCCAACCAAAAAATGTCCCGGTGTTAAATGTGACATGTCATTCGGATCCGAACTTAATTCTGTGATAGGCCGTGAGTTAAGGATCGCTTCTATTTCACAGAGGACGATTTGTAGCTCTTCAAAAGTTAAATGAGCCTTATCTACAATGCGAGTCATGTGCAGTTTTGCTGACTTGACCGCCGCCTCCCACAATCCGCCGAAGTGGGAAGCATTTGGCGGAATAAAGTTCCAGGATATCTCTTGATTGCTTAAAAATTGCGCAATTCGATCCTGTGTTTGCGATTGATTGTAAAACTCGTATAGCTCTTTGAGCTGCCTATGAGCGCTCACAAAGGTGGTTCCGTTGTCCGAAAACATGTGGATCGGTTTTCCCCGCCGAGATATGAAACGCTTAAAAGCACCGAGGAAGGCCTCGGTAGTCAGATCGCTTACGAGTTCAATATGAACTGCCTTGGTAACGAAGCATACGAAGATAACTAGGTACGCCTTGTGATTCTTAGCGTTACGCCTCTTTCCCTCTCTTAAGG